GTGTGTGTGTGTGTGTGTGTGTGTGTGTGTGTGTGTGTGTGTGTAGAGAGAGAAAAGTGTAGAGAGCACAAGTGACGGGATTGCATCGTGTCGCTGCACGCGCCTGGAAACGGTGCAGGTGGGAGGGACGAGGAGAGCGAAGGCGAGGAATGGCCCCGAGCTGTTGGGCGTGCCCCCATGCGGAAGGCAGCGCAGTAAACAAGGACTGCGTGGCGGGTGCGAGGGAAGCCCCCCGGAGGTCCACGCCTCGTCCGGGGGAGAGGCGGACGCCCCGCCCCGCCGCACCAGAGAAGATGACGGGGCCGCGCGCACCGCCAGGCATGCATTGAAACATGCGCTCACGCAAGCTGAAGCAAATAAAACAAAAACAACAAAATAAGACCCGCAGCGGTCAAGAATATTCAACTGGTTCCTGTTCACTTTTCATTTGGTTTTTAATTTTCTTCGGTACTGGCGCAGCACTGAGGAAGCAGCGCTGGACACCCCATTTTCATTTTCTCAGAATCCGCTTTTATCTACCGTTTCGTAACGAGGAAGTAAAGCTCCTTTCCCGTTGTGATTAATATATATATATATATAACTTAACGCCGGGGAGGAAAAGCAATCATACATCAGGAATGTTCCCAGGCCATAGGCCACCCATTCAGCGACAAGGGGTACTCCGCTGCAGCTGTTCTACTATGCACACCACACCCACATCCAACCCCTCTCCAGCCTTCGCGGAGCACGACTGGACATGTCACTTGCGGTCCTGCACCTCGTTCATCTGCAAAGTTGTTGTGAGTTCCTCAGCCGTCAACGCCCCCAGAACATCTTTTTTATTTGCGAACAGCAAAAGTGGTACACCCACCAACTTTTCCTCCTCCAATATATGGTACAGCTCCAGCTTTGCCTCCTCCATATGCTGCATGTCAGAAGCATCAATAACAAAGATGAGCGCATCCATGCCTCCAAAATAGTGTTGCCAGTAGTGCCCAATAGACTTCTGACCCCCAATGTCCCAAACACTAAGCTTCAGAGTTCAACGGTAAGGGTTTTAATGTTAAAGCCCTGCGTTGGCATCGTGTTTGCGGTGCCACCGTCGCTCAGCTTCTTGAGGATGCGTGTCTTACTGGCGTTGCCCAGTCCGAGAATAACTATACTTCTGCCCCTGCGAGAAGGTTTCAGCCTGAAGAAGTGGTCTAGAAGGCCCATTTGGGGGGAGGGGGATGGCGGACAGGACTGGGGGCCAATACGGCACTTTATCCGCCCCGGCAAGCAGCGCAAAGCCACCAGTTCCCTGGTGGCCCAGAGAGGCGACGGAGCTTACTATGAACTGAGAGCGTGGATGCAGGAAAAAAGCAAAGCAAAGCAAAGCAAAAGAAGGAAAAAGAAAACAAAAAGGCAGGGAACGGCGTGGGTGAATGGGGGCCATTGGTAAGGGCAAGCGGCAAAACGACAACGGCAACAAGGACGACAAAAAAAAACACACACTGAAGGAAAGCGCATGGGAAACAATGAGTCAGGACTAGGAATAGTGATTTGTCACAGGACATCCACGCCCTTCCCCCCCCCCTCCCCAAGCTCTGCGCCGCAGCGATAAGGGACGGAGCAAGTCGCTGCAAAGGGACAAAATTAATAGTATATATTCCATCACTCTCTGATCACCTCAAAAGACCCATCATCACTAAGGGTGTTTTTCACCCCTTTAGAGCCATCATCCTGACCCACATGATGGTGGCGTCTTTTACTTCGCGCCGCATCTTTCCTCTTGTGGCGGGCTTGGCCCTTGCGCTTGTCGTGGCGCACATGCAGTGCACCTTCCTCGTCAACAGAGGTCCCTAGCATACTCTGCATCTGCTGTAGCAGGGCACTGACATCGGCAGAAATGGAGGACGTGCGGGGCTCAATTTGGACGTTATTCGTGGACGCTTCCGCCACAGCCAACGGCGCACGCAGGTGTGCGCTGAACTCCGTGCGGACTTCATCGCCCTCGTCGCCGCCGTCGCCGTCAGTAGCCACTGCCGCACTGTGCCTGGAGGAATCCTCCCCAGAGTGGTCAGAACCGAAGAAATCACCGTCTAAACTCTGATTGTCTCCAACGTCAAGCACGTTGTCATCAAAGTCACGAAAGCCCGCAGCTGGCACACGCATCTGCAGCGCATCCTCGTCAATCACAGTAACAGGGGCACTGCCAGTAGCAGCAGGATGTGTTATGGTCGCAGGAGCCCCATGAGACGCGTGGGACGCAAGCTTTGTCGTGGGCTCTGGTGGCGGTGGCGGCGAGGCGGAGACTGTTGGCACAACTGCCCCAGTGGGGGGGCGCATCCACTTTCGGTGGCCGCTGTCAGAGCTACCGCTACCGCTACTGCTTCTGCGCCTCCCTGCTCCCGCGCCAGCCCCCCCCGCATCCTCCTCCTCGTCCCCCCTAATGTCGTTAAAAAAGTCCCTTGCAATTCCGTTTTCATCCTCCTCCACATCGCGATGAAGTCGGTCGCCGGCGACGATACTCAACGTGGGTGGGCCCCGCCCCTCGTCCCGCGGCGGCGCACCACCACCTCCGCCCGTGGGCAATGGACGAGAGGCCGCCCCGAGCGGCTCAGTTCCGCCCTCCCGTAGCGCCTGCTGGTTTACTTTCTCCTGAAGGAGGAAATTGGCTCTTTCGCGGAGCATCCATGTCCGATGCTCCTCAACAAAATGAAAACACGCGTGAATGTGAGCCTCCAACGTCGATATTTTGAGAAGCATATATGGAATCTCAAAGGCGTTGCGAAGCGACTCCATGCCCTGGCCGGTCGCGGCACTGATGCTCACCCAAGTCGCAGCGATAGAGTAATCCTCCGGCGGCAAACGACCTGCAGAAGCCGCCAAAATCATAGGCGTTGTGGCCCGTCGGAGACCCGTGCACGCAGCATCAATGTCACGCTCCGAAACAGCATGCGCATCTCTGGGCGCATCATAAAAGTTCAGAATAAAAATGACGCATGTATTTGGTGGAACATGACGCGCTTCACGCACAGCATATTCCAGCGTCTCCCTCCGAGTTCGATCTACAACAAAAGCTGCTAGATGGCATCCCCTGTAGACATCGATGGAGCGCGCATCCGCCAGGGCTGGGTGTCGTGCCGTGGACGACGGTTGGGAGGCACTGAAGCCCTCGTCAACCACGTCCCATAACTCCACCTTCGCACCGCTGCTGCCACCGCCGCCAACTCCTGTCCTTCCTGCATAGCTACGGTAAAAAATGGTACCCGCACTGATTTCTGGCGAAGGTGTGTAACCGCCAAGCGGAGCGTATCCGCAGAGACGTGAGACAATAGTTGACTTCCCCGTGCGGCGCATCCCACGCACAACGACCTTCATATTCAAATGCGAGCCCCTCTGTATCTCACGCTGAACATCGGGGTGCACGGGCCAAATGTTCGGGCCACCACCGGTAGTATTTCTCTTCGCCCCTGGAAGGGCGGAGCCGTTTCCCGTGCTCCGCGCTGGAGACGGGTTCCTCTCCCTTTCAAATAGCCTCCTTAACCTATTTAGAAGTGACATGCAATGGTCAAACGACAGGGCCACTTCTCTTGTTTTCCTTGTGTAGTAAGCATTGGCAAAAACAAAGCCTTGTCAAGGAACGAGCATCAATAAGCACACGCAATCCTTCTGAAGACACCCACACCTTGAGCCACCCTGGTGTTCAAGCAGACGACGGAATTACAGTGCAGCTCACACGACTATGGCGTCCCCGGGCACGTGGACGCGGTTTCTTTGCTTTTGTGCGCAGCTGCAAGGCAATATCTCAAACTCCACATCCACGCACACACGCCATGACGCTCCCCATCCCGCCACCTCTCATGGCCCCAACTTATTCCGGCTCAACAGCCTTTGCCCTGTTCCACCATACTCTTTGGGGGGGGGGGCGTCCCAGAAGTTGCGCAATACAGAGTATACTCCGTACCCGGAAATGGTCTGGGCGAGCCACCACACCAGCAACTGAGGAAAAAGAAGAGGAAGAATAAAAAATCAGCCAATCTCAAATTAGTGTACAGAGCTTCTTCTTCTTCTTCTTGTCCCCTGGTTTTGACGCCCTCAGGTCAACGCGCATCATTGACTGGGTTCCGGGCCTCGTGGCCATCGCACCAGGAACCTTATTTCTACTGAGTTGTGAAGACGCCTCCAGTGGCGCACTCCGATTCTCTCCCGGCTCCTCGCTCAGGCACATCCCAGCCGTGTATTCGAAGAGCTGCGTCACGTTGAAGTCGTCCTTCGTGGATACGCGAAAAAATGGCAACTGAAGCTCTATTGCTAGCTGCTCTGCCTCCTCGTTCGTGATGGCCGCGTCGTGTGCAAGGTCAAACTTTGTCTGGCAAAGGACCATTGGAATAATACCACACACGTTCTCGACATTCCTCTTCCAGTTCACCACATTCATAAAACTGTGCTTATCGACTGTGCTGAACGCCAGTATTGCCGCGCCAGCACCACGGTAATACGCCTGGGTGAGGGAATTGAACACCTCCTGCCCAGCCGTATCCCAGAGCATGAGCTTCACTGTCGTGTTGGATTGGTGCAGGAAGACATTTTTCTCCATAAATTCTGCCCCAATAGTTTTCTTGTACTGGTTCACGAACTCCCCCTTGACGAACCGCCGCAACATTGACGTCTTGCCCACATTGCCGTCCCCCACCACGATCACCTTGATGCTGTTTTCCACACACTCCAGCATTGCCCCACCCCGCTTGACGCTGTGCTGCTGGCTGGCCCCCGTTACCCTGCCCCGCCCGCGCCGCCGGCCGAGAGGTGAGCCCAGGCAATGGCAATCCCAACCTCAACCAGCGCACACACCAGCGATGCCCAGAGCGGCGAAGAAAAAAAAAAAACAAACAAACAAACAAAGGCAAGAAAAGAAGCAAAAGCAGAAAAATATGCGCACCACATCTTGCTTTCCTCTGCCCCTCGTTTTTCTCACGCCAAAGACCCTGCTGCTCCTGCAGCATAAAATGGGAGAGGGAAAAGGCGGAGATCTTTATTCCCCTTGCCTCGCAGAATCAATAAACAAAAAAAATGCACGCAGATGACTCCGCAATACAGATAATAACTACCTGAGTAGTAAAAAAGCGGAGAAATTCGCCAGAACTGGCGAAACATGCTTCACTACAAGAGGAGAGGCGCCTAAAAAAGACGTAGACAGCACAATAACACAAAACAAAACAAAACAAAAAAGATAGGGAATTCGGCTTTTTTTTAAAAAAGGCATAATAATGATCTGTATTGCCGTACCTAAAATCGGCACTTCTCCACCAAACTCCTTGTCGCATCATCCAAGGACACAGGCATGTCAACGGCAATTGTGACGTACATGTCGCCATTGCGTCCTGTCTTCCGATCGGGGAAGCCCTTACCGCTCACACGCAACTGACGCCCATTCTTGCTCACTCCAGTCAGTGGTAGCACTGTATTAGTTCCGTCAAGTGCCAAAACGTTCACTTTTGTTCCCAATAACGCTTGTTTCAAGTTGATGTGAACCGTCGTGCGGACATCTGTGCCACTGCGTTCAAACCGAGGGTGAGGCTTCTCGTCCAGGATGAACACCATATCGGCCAGAACGTTCGGTGGATATCCCTGCACAATACCTCCCTCCTGGTGAAAACGGATTTTTGTGCCTTTTTTATAACCAGGAAGCACCTCAACTTCAAACATCTTTTTTTCGGTGCCTCCCGGCATCTGGCGTGAGACATTGAACTTTTTAGTACACCCCGTATAGATTTCCTCCAAAGTGCATGCAAAGGTGTACTCCACGGGAGGCACTTCACTCATCGGTGACATCTCTGGCGACCCAAAGCCCGTCGTAAACCCCTGCGGGCCCCCAAACCCTCGAAACACCCGGTGAAGACCCATCCCACCGCCGCCGCCAAACTCTTCTCCGCCCATGAATGGATCGCTGCTGCCGAAAAACGACCGAAAAATGTTAAACGCATCGCCATCTGAAAAAGTGTACCTCGTACCGAAGGGGACGCCGCCGCGAGCCCCCGCACCCGCGGCGCCGCCACCCTCCCCAGCTCCAGGGATCCCGCCCTTCAGGCCCTCCTCACCGTACACGTCGTATATTTTCTTCTTCTGTTCGTCACTTAAAACATCATACGCTTCCGAAACCTCCTTGAAACGCCTTTCGGCCTCTTCCCGATTACCGGTACATTTATCGGGGTGGTACTTCAAAGCCAGCTGGTGATAGGCCTTCTTTATATCACTCGGCGAGGCATTCCGGCCAACACCAAGAACCTTGTAATAGTCAATGCCCATATCTACAAAAAACAGCAACCTATTAAGATCACAAAACAAACAAAAAAAAACATAGAGACCAATCAAAAACACAAAACCCCCCAAAAAAAATCAGGTACAGTAGGCAAAGGGAAAGAAAGAGAAGCACGCAAAAAAAAAACGGGAAAAAAACATTTAAAAAAAAACATTAAAACTCAAACCGCTCTCTGACCGCCCGCGCCTGGCCGCTGCATAAGTTCCAGATTACCCAGAGAATACTAATGAAAAAGGAACATTGCTGGTGCACCCAACCTCCTCCAAATGCGCAGCAGGAGGCTGCGCAGAAGGCATCTCTTTGCTCTGTCGCTGAGAATTGTCTCGCTTCAGGGGCTTCCGGCGCTCAGTGAGGGAGAAAAAGTGCGCACGGCAAGGAAACAAAGGGATGGAAGGGAGGGGCAAAGTACACCAGTGCCCCCAAACTCAGCAGCGTCCTTCCAAACAACAGGCCTCAGTAATTTAATAATCAGCGTTTATTTACGACGACGTGACGACAATAAATCCCGAAACCTCATCACTTATATTCCGTTTTCCAAGTCATTCAATTCCACCTCACAACATGCCTTTAAAACAAGCCGCGCAAACAAACACCCTAACGACGCCCAAAGCGCAAGCACAACAAAAAAAAACGGGCAACACAACCAAGCACAACTCCCCAATGTACCCCAACACTGTGAAATGCCCCGTTACTTCAATCACTTTCTAACACGGAGAAACAACAAATACCGCACGGACATTAAAAAGAAAAAAATTAAAGAAAAAAAGAACACGACGAATTATCTTAAAATAATTTAAAAAGCAAAAGTAAAAGTATCCATGAGCTCATCACACAAGCATTGCCGCTTCATTCGGTTGTCTCACGACCGCCCACAAGCCGTCAGCGGCAGCGCAGTCCTACCCCCTCGTTTTGTTATATGGACGAGAAAAGGAGGCAAACGCTTCCTCGCGCCTCCGGCGGCGCCACACCACTCACTCACGCACCTTGGCGGTTACCAGGGGCGGCAGCCTCAGTCTGTGACTGGCGTTCCGGCGGCACGGGCTCTTCGTCGGCGTCGCCGCGGCTCTGAGGTGCCTCCTCCTCCCACGGGAACAAGAAGAACACCAGCACGGCGAAGCACACACTGCCCGTGCAGCCAAAGAAGATGAAAGCGATCGCCTGGCCCTTGTCCTGGTTGCCGGACGGGCCGCCGGACATGCCCTCCGTCGCGATTGGGTAGCAGACGTTGATGATGATATTGGTAAGGAACAGCACCACCATCAAGACGGACGAACCCTTCGGGCGGAACGAGCGCGGGAAAAGCTGCTGAGCAAGCACAAATAAGCACGGTCCAACACCAAGCTCGAACGCGGCGATGAATATGGCGATGCCAGTGATCGCAACACCGTTCTTCACGTTGGTGCTGGAAACGCCGGGGTACACAGGGATCCCGCACAGAAGCAGGCACGCCACCGACGCCACGAGCGTGGCACCGAGATACATCTGGCGCATCGTGAAGTACCAGGCAAGTGGAATCGCGGCGAGCGTCGTCACAAAGTTCCATGCCATCACCACGAAGTTCCCCACAAGGGGCTCCATCCCCAAGTTGCCCATGATCGTCGGCGCATAGTTCATCACGGCGTTGATCCCGGTGAACTGCGCCGATATATCCATCACAATCCCAATCGCTAGAGGGCCGAGCATCTGCATGTAGCCGTACTCATTCGGGTCCAGCGCCTCGTCGTCCTCC